AGTCGTATTCATGAACATACGGGAGGTTGGGTGATAAACGATAAATAAATTAAAATCTCTGTCAGAGTCGACTTGACGTCCATTATGGACGAGATGAGCTACTGTTGAGCTGCTTATAGCTTAATTCGGACCTTTGTGAAACCAAGTTGAGAAGTGTTCAGAAATTCGACGATGAACTTGCCTGAATTTACGCCCAACGTAACTAGCTCCAAACGGGTAGTTAAACTGGTAAATACACATGGAAGAGGCGAAACAATAAACAGAAACAAACTGTCCAGTTTCAGCCCTCCTTCAAAATATTGCCATCTTGTTACTAACATCTAATAGCTAACCTCCTTATTTCACCCCCTGCCTTATACCTAAAACTGATTAACTAAAATAACCACTCGACTGATAAAACTTTTGATGGGAAAAACTATGTAATAGTGTACAGCCAACCGATGATGGGGAACTAATTAAAAAAGGATATATTTCTTCGCTCAATCCGTTGTTTTTTCTAAATGCGTAAATGGGAGTTCGGGAACAAATTTTTTCATGACACCAGTCAATAAAAATACATTTTCTCAAATCTTCCTGCTATTCACTTTAAGGTTTTCTGTAAATTTAAATACCGTGTGTGGACTAAACTTAAATAAAGAAAGGAAGAACAGGAAGTGAAATTCAAACGGATTTAATAAAGTCCTCTTTTGTGTCACAGTTTTTTGCCAAGATTAAAAATATCACTGGCGTAAGAAGTAAGTGAAGTGTGAGTAGCAAAATATCGAAACAAAGAATGACTCATTGTTTCTGAGATGATTTCTTTATTTTTTGCATACTTCTAAAATTTCCCCCTCAAATTTTTTATATTACTTATTACCTTGAGTCTTCATCAGCAAGCTACTTAAATTTACTACCCTAGTTTACACTAATAAGCGTAGACATATTTGCATGAACCTTGGATACACACAAATATTCTTATTTCTTTCTTTTCATTCTGGAAAATAAATAAACCCATAGGAAAAAACATTCCGATTTAACCCATTTCTCCCTCTTCTTCACAAAAGTTGAGTTTCAACAGATGACTTTAGGCTAAGAATTCGAAAATCAATATGCTAAATAGATATAAGTTTTTCCTTTAAGAATTGGTGAGCAAAACACTTAACAAAGCAAAAACAGCCGTTTGTGTTCATGAAACATGGCCATCGTTTATATCGTCAGCTGCTCTTATGAGATGTAAACAGTCGTAGAAAAACATTCATAAGTTTAGAGACCAATTTTATCCTACTTGGAAATGTAAGTACGTAGGTTAAAATCGTTTCGTAATCTTGAATAGTTTTTCAAGGCTGCATGCTACTGATGAAGAGCTGACGATGTGAACAATGGTACCATGTTTTCCAACACAAACTATTGTTCTTGATTTATTCAAACCATTTTTTAAAATTCATTTTGGTCTCCAGCGGAACACAGGTCTTTATGCTAGAGCCTTGACGTTTCAGTAACAGTGGTGTTTATTTTTAAAAGATAAGATTGCTGGCCTCACACCGAACCTTCACTCTTTACCAGGCTTATTACCGTCTAAGAGAGGTAAAGGAGTGTGGCGTCGGCCGGGGATCAAATCCCGAACCAATGCTTGGTTGCCCACTGTTCTACCAATAAACCACCATTAATGCTATTATTACTACCTACTATAAGCGATAATCAGCGAACTAATTAATTGTACCATAGAACATTATTATAAAAACATATATAATATATGTTATTATGCATTCATACATGTGATTTCCTGAGCTATCCTTGAGAAAACCACGTATACCAAAATGCAGTCAACAAGTTTCGTGCATATATTAACAGTAACTCACAAATATGAATAAATAACTTTAAATCATACATATTTCATAAGAGGTAACTCTTATGTCTTGGTAACATATTGTAAAAACTATTTGACATTTGAAGCAACTGTTGTTAGGTTAATACCCCATTAGGGTTCAAAGCAGCATGAATCACCCGTCCGGGGTACACCGCTAGTCATCATCAAACAGTTAACTTTAATGCATGTTGTGTGGTGAGAATTATTTTACCAACAATATACCATCTCGTCCATTTTTCCAAGAAAAGATACCATGCAGTAACACAGTAATCGACCGCCACCTGCAACGCGCCCAACAATACCAACAACGAAAGCAGAACTACCAGTGAACATCGACCCTCCGACGAAATCAGAAGTCCTGAATGCAATGCTAAAAAAACTGGAAGAGCACCAGGACCAGATGGAATTCCAGCTGAAGCATTGAAAATTGACCCAGAGACAACAGTGGACTTGATGACGCCACAACTGTAGAAGGTGTGGAAAGAGGGCAAAGTACCCGAAGATTGGAAGAAGGGATACTTATTCGAACTACCAAAGAAAGGAGACTTAAGTCAATGTAAAACTGGCGCGGAATTATGCTCCTGTCCATTCCAAGCGAAATACTAAGCCGCATCATCCTGGAGAGAATCAAACACGCCAACCTGGATGAAAAACTTCGACCGGAACAGGCCGGATTCAGGAGAAACAAATCATGTGTTGATCAAATCGCCAATTTACGAATCATCATTGAACAAAGCTTAGAATGGCAGTCACCTCTCTATCTCAACTTCATCGACTTTGAAAAGGCCTTCGACAGCGTCGATCGAGAGGTCATTTGGAAACTGCTTCGCTACTACGGGTTCCCATCGACAATTATACATTTCATACTACAGTTATACGACAATGCTGCATGCCAAGTAATCCACAACGGGAAACCTACGGAAGCCTTCGAAGTAAGGACGATAGTGAGACAAGGCTGCCTACGATCACCAATGATTTTCCTGATTGCAGTAGATTGGATAATGCGACAGACAACGGGCAATGAGGAAACAGGCGTAAAATGGACTCACACAAAAAACTTGGACGATCGGGACTTCGCCGATGATATATGTCTGATTTCTCACAAACTGGAGGATATGCAAGTGAAAAGCGACAAGCTGGCAGAAGAAGTATCCAGAGAAGATAGAACTTCAGGTGAACATAGATGAAACAGAGGTGATGAAGATTCCTGTCCAACACCAACAGCAGCAACAACAACAGACAACAATCAGCCGGCATAAATGGGAGGAACCTGAAAGAAACAACCTCCTTTACCTGCCTACCTACCTCGGGTGCATCGTTTCAAATACAGGCTGACGGAACTGACGAGGATATCAAAGCCAGAATCGGAATACCAAGACAGGCTTTCATTACTCTCAAGTTTGTGTGGAGGTCAAGGGCACTCAGCATCAAAAATAAGATCCGGATTTTCCACTCAAATGTAAAGTCAGTGCTTCTATACGGATCAGAGACTTGGCGCGTCATAAAGAGCATCTCAAACAAACTCCAGACCTTCATCAACATCTGTCTTCACTCAATGCTCAAGATCAGATGGCCAGAAAAGATAAGCAACAGGGATCTCTGGCAATGAGTGAACCAACCAGGAACCGATTGTGCAACAGATAGGCAGAAAGAAATTGAGATGGATTTGCTATACTCTGGGGAAACCATCAAGTGACATCACTAGACAAGCCATCGCTCGAGTTGAACCCGAGAGGGAAGCGGCGAGTTGGTCGTCAGTGCGAGGGTGATTTGGAGGAGGTCCTGTGAAGAGGAGATGGAAGCATGTGGGCAGACTTGGAGCGGGGTGAAAAAGTTGGTAGAAAACAGAAATCAATGGAGACGCGCGGCTGAAGCCCTATGTTCCTCTAGGAACTAAAGGACAAAATAATAATAACACAGTAACTGTGATTAGAAAGTACGATGGCATACAAAATCACCTTTGAGTGAAATAAGCAATAGTGAGCGTAAATATTTCTCCATTTTTGTTCAACGTACGTTTCCTGTAATTCATCTAGGTGTATACAATGAAGTTGTCTATGTTAACTTTTTGTAAACTTGAATGCTTTACACTAAAACCTTTTCAATGAAGGTTTACAAAACGATTTAGCTGAATTACTGTATTTTACGCCTACGTCTGTTAATTTATTATTCATTAAACTTGTAAACAATAATGTATTTTGATCCCAATAATCAGTAGTAGTTTATAATATACAGGCTCCATTACTTCATTCTGTCGTGTTACACTTCAGATTTCAGAACCCTCACATTTCAATTATTTTCAAGGTGGAAGACTTATTAATGCCCAAAGACGGAACAGTTATCTAATGTCTGTTGTTTCTATATATTTTCTATCCGTCAGACAGTGAATAAATCCATCTGAAAATAATCAGCATTTCAAGTGCGTGACTTAATAATTGTTTCAATGTTTACTGGCAGCATTCAGACAATTAGACCTCAAAACACATTCAATCAGGTTAAAGAACGAAATTTGTAGACTCAACATCAACAAAATCTGTTGTTTGTTATGGTTAATTTCAAGGGAATATAAATCTTCAGGGATTCGCTGTGATCTTCATAATTAATATAGTTTATTTATAGTTTCTTTGATTGGACACTACTCAGTAACTAGTGTAATGCGTGTGCGTAGTCCTATCTTTGGTGCAGAATGACACTAGTTACTAGTGTCCAATCAAGGTATCCACTACAGTCCTACAGGAGGTAAGTCGAAAGCCTGAATAACTCAGTGGTAACATCTCTGACTGCAGTACTGGGTGACGCGAGTTCGAATCTCAGAAGGGGCATGGGTTTTTCAAGGTTACAGATACGCCTTGCTCACTGGTGATTGCCAGTTAGCACGAAATCTAAGTCAAGCAAGGCTTCCTTTCGGTTGCCTCCAACCATCTAATATCTTCAAATCAATATGCGTCTTCACAGTTTATCAACAATCATTTGTTAAAACAATATAAATATATATATATATATATATAAATTATATATAAAAACAATATGTATATATATATATATATATAAATTATATATAAAAACAATATGTATATATATATATATATATATATATATAAACAATATAATTGAACAGAGAACTAATATAATATAGTGCCTTTCTATTATTTAGGTAGGAATGCTTGAAACCAAAACTGATGATGATGATTTTCATCAATAAATTAACTGACAAGTAATTCAGTATTTACAATTAACTAGTTGCAAAATAATCATTTTATGTATGCACGACAACTTATTCTTTACCTCGTACTAACAGGAATAATTTATTAACTTTCATAAGATAAGTAGTCTTATACACATATCATAGTGGTATGCTTTTTTTTTGCATTAATATTTCATACTTTTACTATTTATTGGTAATATAAATTATTTTTGTAGCCATCTGATACAATTTGCAGATCGATAAGTATATATCCACTAAAAATATCATTAGAGATGTTGCAACGAAAATCCCTTTATTTTTTTTATTTTTATTTTTTAATGTTTTGGTAACAGCTTGTCACATATTTATCTGTATTGTCACATACTGAGCAATGAATGATGAAATACGGAAGTCCTAGTGCAAAAAGATTTGTATACATCTTTCTTTACAAATGAACATTTACACGACACTTATTTATAATGATAGTTATCTTTTTGTTTAGTAGTACTTGTTTAGGGGGAAAGTTATCTACCTGTGACAGAAAGACCAGTAGGATTATATCACATTAAAAGGTAAACGAATTTCATAACCATTTCATTTGTTTTTTCCAGTAGTAACACAAATTTTCTTTATGGAGGAATAGTTTGACGTAAGAGGAAAATGACTCATTATTTGGCATTTAAAGAAACTTCTGGCATTTCACTGATGTGATATGATTTATAATCAGCATTATTAAATTTGAACCACTATGAAATCGAATAGGAAACATGTGGACAAAAATAACGTGACAGCTGCTTTACAAGCATGTAATTAAGTATAAGGCGGATTTGTCTGTAAAAAAAAGTACAATATCTAAATGTTCACACATCTTAGCTGACTACTTTTAATATATATTATACTTTCAATGGCCAGACTAACAAAAGTTGAACAGAATGAAGAGAAACGTCTTTTTAGATGAAAAGATTGTCTTGAAAAATTCTGTTATGTAAGCAAAATTATTGGACGTGTACCTTTTATTACTGCAAATGAAAATGAGGACGATAGTAATCATGTGACAAGTTTCATTACAGAAGAATATTATGACAAAAGGAAGCAGTTAGGAAAGCGATAATTTTTTTTCATGTATGATGAAACATGATCAAAAGCTAACGGGAATATTTGATGCAAATAGATTATGGATTCTTAATATAGACATGGTGTATACATTTATGTTGAGGTAAAAATGGTTTCGAAAGAAGAACAAGAAATAATAACACAGTCTTCACGTTTATACATTCGCATACAGATTTTTGTGACAAGAATGAAATCCAGACGCTGTGTAACTGTTATAGGATGTGCGTAAAATTATTAAATCGAATGCAGTTTTATTTCGACATTTAACTGGTGATCATCATATCTTGTCCCAACTATTAAAATATTGCTCCATACTAAGCTCCTTGTTGTCCTCTTTGTTTCTTAAGTATTATTTGGTATTTCGTTTCATAAAAGCGTGAATAAATCGAAAAATCTCTCACTCACTTCTTGCGAACTATACGGCCACATATTTATAGTGAGTAAGATTGATTTCAAGACAAGTTGATAAAATGTTAATTAACTTCTTTGATAGTGTGACGGAGTATTTCTAACTGCTGATAATTGGAACAATAAAAATGTCTAAAATTTCTCTACCAAAAAAATATTTTTACGACATGTAAAAACTGATCATCAGATTAACGTGTATTTATGCACACCTGTGCTTGAAGCTCAAATTTTTTACAGACTGAAGGATAAAAAGAAAAATACATTTCTTGTACTGTATAAATGATTACTGCATCCTCTGAAAAGCGCATAAGTATTTTATGTCGAAGTTTTTTGCCTCATTATCGGGAAGCATTTTCAGCTCCCAGTATTATCACAGATCTGTAAGCAGTTCTTTTAAGCAGATGTGAAACTTAAAATCAGTAATACAAAATGCTGCCTAGTTTATCTACCGAAACAACTATTTACCATTCAGTATTTCATACATGTGTCCAAATATAAAAGTGCGTTATATTTTGAATTTAGTATTTAGGGATATATTATATACAAACTGAGCTGGTAGTTGTATAAGACAGGAGATTTTAATAACATAGAAAACCGTGGAATTATAACTGTGATCATTATAGCAGTAGTTATAAATCAAAACTAGTCTGAACAAAATTAAATGATGATCGAAATTGAATCTGAACTTGGTTTAAGCAAAGAGTGTTTGCTGAATTCAGCCGACATTTTTGAGTGGACCCTAATTAGTCTCAGGCGTGTAGTCCTTCATTTACTACAGACTGAATTCCATTAGTCAAGTTTGCAATATGGCCACCATGCCACTAGCTGGCTTGCCATCACGGTGAGCTAAGAGTTGTTGTATTTAGATAGTTAGAGGCAATCGGCAGAAAGCCTTTGACCTAAGTTACATGCTTATTGGTACAAACAGTCTCAAGATCATAATGCTTCGCAGTCAGGCATAGTGACTGCAATTTACCTAAAGGTGCACACCGGTATTATTAACCTGCGAGTTTTGGTGAATGAACATTTTGTCACTGGTACTACTATTCCAATTTTATCCGTAACGCACCAAGTGATGCCTTCTAGGTAACGCTTATCCTGAATATTTTGGACCTAGGTTTCGTGAGTGTTGTCACTTTTCATCTAGGTGGATCTGCAATTTTGGAGGAACTCATATCCCATGTCACCCACTACTGAAGTCAAAGATGTTAACGTCGAGCAAATATAATGTTTATTATATCGTCTACAGATAAATCCTGTTGACAGTGAGACAAGTAAGCTTATACTACAGTCAATGTACTTTATTTCCTTTACAATTTAAGCACGGTTTAATAATCAGAATAACATTTAAAATCTGAGTTTAGGAAAAAGATTTTTAAGTATCAGATGTATTTAAGAATGTGGACAGTTTTAAAACATAAATGAACTCTCAGCATGTGTTGCTAGACTGAAGTTTAAAGAAAAAAACATCCAGAGCTGAAATCCTGTGTAAGCTATTATGTATACCACAGTTTCCATAGAATGCAGATATGAATATAGTACAGCTTTTATTCACCCAAAAACTTACTTGCTTGCATACCAAACCTTGATTGCTAGTTCACTGATTTGCCAGTCGGTTCCAAGCCCGGAAAGACGGGGGAAGTTTGGCGTGTGGCTACAGAACTTACCTCAGAAAATACTACCTATTCGCTATAGACTTCAAAACAAAACAACTGAAAAGTTATTTTTTGCCTGAATTGAGGAAGCCAAATGACGCTGTCTGGTGTAATCCTTCGGGATAAGTCTTATTTCTCTGGAAACAAAAGTAAGCATGAGAACATGGATTATCTGCGCGATGTTTACATGCTAACACGGTATAATTAAGCCAGCTGGTGTTACTTCGCAAGGAACACTTAAAAATTCCTCGGTTATTTTCGCTAAAATTTCAGTCATAAATTTAAGCTTCACATGATATGTACACAGCTTTTATGATTCAGCGTGATAAGAAAATGAACTGGTTCGTCTGACACTTAGTGATTCTGTTCAAAAAAGGATTCTCATTGTGGAGCTTGAACCACTTGTCAAAAATTAGGTATGCTTTACAAGAAATGATAATGAACTAAAAAAGGTAGGAAATAAATTTTGATAGAGAAATTTTTGTCTTGAATATGACGTCTTAACAACTTTTGCGGATCCACAGGTATATTACCCTGAGTGACCCGAAATTTTAGACTCAAATCTTTTTATGTATAAATCCCAGTTTTAATCATATAAATGCAGTGAAAACAGTGAGTTGATTCACAATTTCACTAAATCACTTAGTTCAACTGGAAAAGTTTCTATTTTTTACTCGAGATTCTCCTGAGTTTTCTTAAGTTTTCGGCAGAAAGCACTTGTATGTTTATTCAACAAGATCACAAAAGTACACATATCTCATTATTCGCTATTCAGTGTGAATATTGGCTATTAATTTTGATAGGAAATCGGAAATGAAACCAATCGGTAATAAATAGTCTGTATTCTCGCATTATAAAATGGAATACTCGATAAAATAAGATGTTCGTACAACTCAAGAAGATATCACTACCATTAACACAGGATTAGTGATGATTGCTTATTCACATTCTTCATGGTGCTTACAGTTTGCTGATGTAATGAGCTGCTCTGACATTCTTCGACATCTGTTGGCACTCTTGTTTATTATAAAATTTAAAGGCATTAATTCATACGGAAGAGAGAGTGAATGACAAGCAACGGATTAATAATAGTTTTAAATAATGCAGCTACATGAGAAGAGTAGATCAAATAAAGAATAAATGAATAACGCGATATTTGTATACTTAAAAAATACGTGAGAACTTGCAATCATCTAACAGTAATGTAATAATAAGTAATGCTACCATGATTAGTAATAATACTTTTAATATCCACGTAATGCATGAACTATATTTGCTGGAATACTACAGGAATAAAAGCCAGAAAGTGCTATCTATACACAAACATGTTCATTCGTATGTACTGTGCATATATAACCGTATGTGTACAGTACATTAAAAAAACTGGTGAAAACAAAGCATGATATAACTTGTGTCATGTGCATTAACCTTGATTCGGTAGATAAATTTATAAGAAAGTAATACCTAGAACTATAAAAGTGATCATTACCCCTTTAAAACTAGAATCCCACCTATCCTGATTCTTCCTTAGGCAGTGGAAAAAATTAGTTAAAGGCGACCGACTGAAGACCAAAGACTCCAAGACCTTCAACATTTGTAAGTTTCAAATAATTTGTTTCAGGAAATGAGAATAATCAAGTTTGCATGGGGTTTTGTATGCCCTTTCATTTTCTTATATTAATCTATTTAGCTAACGACGGCTTATTTAAAAAGACTATCCAATCAGTTAAGTTTTAATATAATAAATAATATATATATATATATATATATATATGTTTATTCATTAACAGCATCTTCGCTGCACTACATGTAACGTGTACAAACACTTTTCCTTCTTCAAACTTGCATGGTCATTGATAAACAATCATTAACTATACACTTAACTCAGTGGTGTTCATTATCACATCCTATTGGTAATATAAACCTAGGTAGCGTGAATGCAGTTCACATCTCAAATAAACCTTATATCATTTTTAAGCATCATTTAATTTTAGTAAAAATTTATTTCATATTTAAATCTTTGAACCCGATACCAAAGACAAGCTTAAATGGAATATGAATCAATACTTTCATTTAAGGGATGCATTTTTATTGTTCTCAAAATGACTTCCATTAGGGAGTTTTATTACTTCAACTTATTGATTCACAATTATGATGAAAGAAGAAGGAAACTGGAATGCAGTTTGTAAGCAGGGTGACATTAAAACGACGTAAAGTTTTCGCCTGAGGTAAAAATCGATAGTTTAGTGTGACGGAAATATTACTTTTGGAGAACCAGAATGGAAAGAATGATTTAAAACAATAATTAAATTCAACTAGTTTAGTTATGTATTAGATGGAGTTGCAGGCTTTTTAATGAGTTATTCAGTGCCACAAAATAAACATTTCTAAGGCATAATTATAAAGTATTCGTTATCTTTATTATGACTTCGGGTACAACATGCTGTGGCATCTGGTACGTTAAACCTAACAAAATTTGTAATAGTTACAGACATAACCGTTATAATAATCTACCAATAAAATGAGTAAATACTAAATGGATTCAGATGTCCTAAATTAAAAGGACTTCTTTTTTCTCTGACACATTATTTTCACATGAATTTTAACAGCGCTACTAAACGATTCGCTATTTACCGGTTAATTGAGTGGCCAAAAAAAATGTACTGTTACTACCTATGAATATTTGTCGTTCCTGGAGAACATGTTTATCATCAAAGATGAGCAGAAAGTTTGCTACCAACTAGTAAGAATATCATGATCCTTTTCACCTATAATCCATAAGAAACTTAACGCTTTTTATAACTCCATGAGGCTTTTACGTGGTAGTGAACATCTTCAGTAATTTTTCTTCCTCTGACTGACAACATTAATTTGAACAACTGCAATTCATCAAAAAGATTTTCAATATTTGTTATATAAGATGTAAAAACTATTAAGAAATCTAAGTTGACTTCACATGAATCAGCAAATATGCTTGCCGTCTAAAACTTCAATTTTGATTTACTCTAATAATATGAAGTTCAGTAAATAACAGATTGTTTTGTTGGAATTATTTTATCTGCTAAATAATATACTGAAGGACTTCTTGATGCTGAGCTAAAGTCAGCATGCTAACTCTGGCATTTTAGTTTAAAAACGTTTGGATCACCTCGGATGTTTTCATAGTATCTAAATCATTAGAAGCATTACCGGATCATTAAAAGTAGTGAACATATGAAATACAAAGCTACAAATACAAATATTCCTAGCATTGGGCTTTGTAGAGATTTTGTTTGATTAGTTGGAGGATTTCATCATGAGCTGATGTCAGTTAGAGAACAACTGGAAAACCTGAGTGTACTGGACAGCTGTTTCGTCCTAGTTTGGGACTCTTCATCAGCACGCGCCCACTTTGAGAAGTGGTCCCGCTATGCCATGGTAGAAGTTAAAATTCATGTACTGGCTCGCCACTGGATCGGGTGCCAGTGGCTTAATGGTTTACGGGTTTGAACCCCGTGGTGGGTGGGTACTGATGAAGAGTCCCAAACTAGGCTGACGAGACAGCTGTCCAGTACTCTCAGGTCTCGCAATGGTTCTCTAACTGATGTCAGCTCATGATGAAATCCTCCAACAAACATTTCTCTTAACACAGTGTGAAACTTTAGGCACTTTGTAAAGGTATCTATAGAACAGTTTCACTAAAAATGAATTGCGAATTGTAGGAGATGATAATTCTGATCACATTATATTTTTACTTTTTGAAACTATCAGTGTATTATTATTTCATACATATGATGCGTAAAATTTGGTCTCTATAAACTTTGTGCGTCGGTGGCACAGTGGCTAGGACGCTCGCCGACCATGCACATGGTCCAGGGTTCTATCCCCGGCCGACGCACTCCTTTACCTAGCTAAGCCACAAATAAAGGTGGTAAAGAGGAAAGGTTGGGCACGAGGTTAACAACCCCATCCTGTAAAATTAAACACTGCTACAGAAACTTCAAGTCACTAGCTTGAAGCCCTATTTTCCACAGGGAATGTGAAGGAAAAAAAAACTTTGTACCACTTTATTTAAATAAATATTGTATGTATGTCATTAAGTATTACTTTATATAAAGCATCTACGTTTTTTTAGATTAAAATTGATTTAATTCAATGAAAAGTGAAACAAATTAAAGATTAAATGTTGTATTAACTAATATATGGACAGGTATACGAAATAACATATTCGCATCTTAATATCGAAGATTTTTCAATGACTTGAAGGAAATAATTATGATGGTATGGGATTTATAATATTTGTTTCCTGCTCCCCCCTATTGTGAGAGTTGAAATATTAGGTAATAATAAGTTGAAACTACTGACGGAGCTCCATTTATCTCCTTCACGTACACAATGTTTTTGTCTGTATTGAGTTAATAGATAAAAAATAAATGAAGTCTATAAGGAAACTCACTCTTTCACTGTCTTGCGCTTTAATTTTAATTTACCTGCGATACTTTTAATTACATTTTGAATAGTGATTCAATATGCAACACATTAAATGACTGTCTTTTGTTTATTTAATTTTTCACTTTAGGTAAACCTATACAGTGTTGGGTGCCACAAGAATTTACGCATTCTTGGGAAGAATATGCAGAAAATCTCTGCTGGGTACAAAATACTTATTTTCTTCATCCAAGTGATCAAGTTCCCGAAGATGATTATGAACTGACTAAAGTTAGATACATTGGTTATTATCAGTGGATCGCGATTGTACTAGCTGGACAAGCTATGTTAAGCTGGGTGCCACACATCCTGTGGAGAGTTGGATCTAAACGCCTACCTGTTTTATTGAGGTCAGCTAAAGAAGCATCAGTTCCAGACAGAGAACTTAGACAAAAAGCCATCTCATGTTTAGTAGCTACTCTGGAGGAACAAGCTGAATCAACAGCTAGGCATAGACGTGTTACCAGTACAATTAAGCGAATATTTTGTAGCCTTCGACCAAATGCACGTATAACTTTTCTGTTTTTCGTAGTTCGTATTTGTTTTATTGGTAATTCTGTTGGACAAATTTACCTCATGAAGAAATTTATTGGGACCAACAGTACCATGTTTGGTATGGATGTATTAAACGACTTAGTCAGTGGACAAGAATGGGAAACATCAGGTAAATTTCCACGCGTTACATTTTGCACTGTACGCGTCCGAAAAATGGGCCAAATTAAACCTGCTAGGTGAGTGAGAATTTTTTCCAACCGGAATTATTCTTAGATTTCCATGATTTTAGTTTTTCATATTATTACATTCCTGAAAATTCACTTAATTATTTACTATTGAATGAATTGCTTCTATATACTTCCTAATTCTGGAAACAATTCATAAGGCTTTTTCATTATTAACATCGACAGAGACTGGTGAATTTCCTACCTCAGTGAACCATAAAATTTTGCCAGCTTTCTAAATGCTTCATGAAAATACTAAATTTGGCGAATAGTCCAACATGTAAAACAAGACATTTGGGGTCTAACTAATGTATACTATTAAGGTGAAGGCAGAGAAATTTGATCGCAATCAGTAGAAGAAATAGTTTTATTTCTAGTTCCTTCCATGGTCTTAATTTCCTTTCCATACGAGTTCGATTTTGTTATAGATAGTACATTTACTCATGTCACTCTCTGATGGTCTTTGTTTCATTATTCACTATTGAAACCCCGTAGTCATTGAATACACGCCAGCCCTTATGTGTCAGTTATAAAACCTGTTCGCGTATTAGGTGTTATATTGATCTTCTTTTTTGTTTTGTTGAATATATTTTTTATTATTTTTTATTTTATTGTAGCTTGATTCCACACAGTACTTTTTGGTAGAAGTATAGAATTTTCAGCATGTGATATCGGTAGGCCGAGTTTTGTAGGCCATTGATGTCAGACGTGCGTCTGCAGGGAAGCGAACCCTGGACCATGTGCATGGTCAGCGAGGGCCCTAACCACTGTGCCACCGATAAACTTCCTAAATATCTGAGGGAGCTACTTAAATCCCCTTATTATCCATTTGAAGGGGAGCTTTATGAAATAAATTCATCAATAAAAAATATATTTCTGCAGAATAGTATTGATAATCTGACACTAATTTCATCAGTGGATCTTCTTTTATTTGACTTCTGATTTTCATTCAGTTAGCTGAACTCATATTAGGTCTTGCTGTTCAAAGTCTAAATAATAAATTCGGTTTTATTACTTTACTTATCTGCACCCATATGTTCAACCTTCATCTCTTGTCACTTTTCATTTTGTTAAACCTAAACAGTCCTTGGTTTTACGGTAGTGTCGATCTTAGCTATTCAGTAGCCATCCATTAATGTGCTAAAATTGATTACCTGCTCTTTTATTTTATGCTGCACGTGATCTTGTCGATTTTAACCGATAAACGAAATGACCTCCTTTCATCCTGTAAATGTCTTCGCGCCTGCTTTCAAATATATATATGTATATGTAGATAGGTAAATTGATAAGATTTTAGATAAATATTCACTAAAGAAAGAATACATATTGGTACACAAAATTTAGATCTGATGAAACATTTTTCTGCTTATAAAACCACTTTTACTTGATAATTTCTTTTTAGTGCCTAAACTATAATTATGAGTTTATTTAACATCTCATTGGAGAACTTTTACCATAGCCATTTACTTATTTCTCTACATTTTCATCTAGTTCAACTAGTTTTTCCTGAATGGAGCTGTTTATGAAAAAATACAGCTTGGTTAATACCAGAGACACCAGTCTGTGTTTTAGGCTATGAAATATGTGGTGTCTTCATGTAGTTCAAACTAACAGTTTTTGAGTTACACCTCTGGAAACTTTGTCAAGCTGACAAAGTCACCTTCGTCAGATGGATGCTAATGAGTTTACATAATACTAGTTAGTTTGATTTATTTTTCAGCATAATATCTACAAAATTATTTCACATAATAATAATGGTTGATCATTAACTGCAGACGTAAACACTTATGAGATTATTATTTGTGTTTTTGAAAATGAACACAAGAAACTCCTTGTGAAGTGATTTTATTCAATAAAGAAAAACCATAACTAATAAAGATCACCTGCGTCGGTGGCCTAGGGTTCGATCCCTAGGCAATGCCCGCCTTCACCTCTTTTAGCCAGTAGTAAGTACGGTAAAGAGGGAAGGTTTGGCATGAGGCTAGCAACTCTATCTCATCAAAGATGTCATTGCTACTGAAACTTCAAAGCTTTACCATGAAGCACTTTGTTATGTTGGGAACTCAAAGGAATAAAAAACGGATGATGACCTAACCAGGGAAGCACGAAAAAAATACTTATTATGTTGATCAAATCAGTCTCAACTATTATACTAGCTCGCTAGTTTTCTAGCCAGTCTCAAGCTCTGGAATTGGTGGGAAGTTCCATGTAGAGTTATGAACACCACAATGGAAAATCAATCTAGTCACTAGAGAATATTCGAACCAAAAGAAAAATATAAAAAATAAACCCATTCCTTAATCGAATAGAGGAATAAAAATCACACAGTCTGGTAAAAGCCTTCGGAAACCCAGCCGATGTTTCGTATTCCAATAAAAGCAAAAGTGAACATTGGGATGTCGTACGGTGTACGAAAATGGAAAGACTACCTAGGTAGCCAAAAAATAAGCAATACGGCACAGAAGTACCAGGAATCTGCGAGAGCAGATGAAATGGATATGGACTCTCGAAATTGTTAATTGTGAAGTTAATAATCTACTCCTGTCACTTGAACGGGAAACACGAGCAAACTGAGGCAGTTAGAGACTATCATGATGTCACCAGTGGCAATCAAAGTCCTAATGCAGTGGTAACCAATATCATCCTGCGGGATCATGACAACAAGATTCAACCCATAAGGAAGGAAGGAAAGTAACACCAAGTGCAAGACTCCTACAAAAAACTCAGAACAAGGGAAAAAGGAAGAGTTCTATAGACAATTACAAACAGTAATGCACATAATCCCAAATGGTAACATCAAAATCCTTATGGGCGATATGAATACAAGCCGAACTGAGAGCAGATAATACAGGAAGAGAAGTCATCATAGGCTGTGGCGCTCTCGCTGTACCAAATGAGCAATAACGGGGAACTCTTCGCAGACTTCTGCATCTTCACTGATTTGGTGGTTGGAGTCAGCGCATGCAAGCAGGAGGAAATACACGGGGACATGGATTTCATTCGATGGAGACACTAAAAACCGGATAGACTTCATCTCAATGTCTCTCAGGAAAGTGGAGACGCAGTCTGTTAGACATAAAACTAAGAAGGGAACAGACCACTCACTATCTCGTGAAACGAATACTGAACGTCAAGTTTAAAGATTTCAGAACAACTGCAGGCAGACCACAATTCAAGTTTAACACTCAGAAAATGAAGGACAAAACTACTAAAGATACTTACACTGGAGCCGTCAGAGCAAAGTCGGGGACACCACTTGCCATGACTGAGGAAACCTGCGTGGAAGAACCCTGGAACTCCCTGAAGGCGATGTTCAAGGAAACATGTATAGACGGTCAAGTGATGCCAAAAACAGAGAGATAAATAAAACAATGGGCGGATCACTTCAAAGGACTCTTTAATTGACTACCACCTGCTACTCAGCTAAAATACCAACAACAGCACATGCGGAACTCCCAGTGAACACCAATACCCAGCATAATCAGAAGTCTTGGATGTGATCAGGCCACTGAAGTTCTGGAAAGCTGTCGAACCAGACAGAATTCTTTTTGATACACTGAAAACTGACTTGGAGATCTCAGAGGATATGCTTATGTCACTGATGTCAAACATTTAGAAGGAAACAGAGGTACCTCCTGATTAGAAGAGAAACTGCGTTGTAAAACCACAAAGGAAGCGCGACTTCAACTTCTTCAGGGACTGGTGCAAGATCATGTTATTTTCCACACCAAATGAAACACTGTGTGACGTCATCTTGGGGAGAAGTCAAACGTGTATTGACTGCAGAACTCTGCCAATCTGATCAAACTGGATTCAGAAAACGCATATCATGTGTTGACCAAACAGCAGCTCTTCGCATAATCATCACAAAACAGAGCATAGAATGGCAGATAAACCTCTCTCTATCTCAACTTCATCGACTGTTAAATGGTCTTTGACAATGATGACCATGAAGTAATTTGAAAACTATCTCAACACTATGATATGCAGTGCCCAAAGCCTCACCAACCTCATTCAACAGCTGGCTACATGACAATGCCACCTGTCAAGTGATCCAAGACGGAAATCTCAGCGAGGCGTTTGAAATGAATACGGAGCTGGACATAACTGACTAATATCTATCACTAATGATATTTCTAATTGTAGTGGACTGGATTATGTAGCACACTATGAGTGGGGAGGGGAGTGAAAAGACGAGAACACGTTGGACAGATGAGAAAACTCTAGAAGATCTGGATTTAACGTTTGGATGATATATGTCTATAGTCACACAGACTGGAAGCCTTTCAGACGAAAAGCAACAAGGTGGCAGAAGAAGTAGGTAGCGAAGGAAAACAGGACGTAGGACACGTGAACTTACAGAAGACGCAGGTGATGAGGATAACCAACCAATCAACAGCAACAACAACAACCAGCACCGATCACCTTCAACGGGAGGAATTTGAAAGAGGTAATTTCCTTCACTGATCTAGGCATCCGGTATCGTTTTGACTACAGGCCGTGCCACGGTTGTCAAGGATGTCAAAGCCAACTAGAATCAGAAAGGCGGAACAGACTCATTTATCACTGTGGAGATTCAGCTTGGAAATCTTCTGCAATCCCTCAAAATCAGGAACAGACTTCATATTTTCGAAACAAAGGTTGACTCAGTCAGTCAGCGGGCTTTTCTACACGAATGAGAGACTTGCACTGCGCGTCACGAAAATCATTTCCAACAGGTCCCTTCAGACTTTTACCAACAGCTGCCTTTACTAGCTCCCTACCGAAGATGAAATGGCTGGCGAGAAAGAATTAGCAAGAGGAATTTCTGGGGACGAACGAACTAGTCGAGGACAAATATTTCGAAGCATATAGAGTTGGAATGGGTACACGCTGAGGCGACCATTGATTGATGTCGCACGCCAGCCCATCTTCAATATGGAATCAGTCCGAATAGGAAACAACGATTTTGGCTGTCATCCCTATGTGAAGAGGATTAGATCGTGTGAGGGGGAGATGAGAGGTTATAGGCA